CCCCTATTTCTTCATGTCTGACATGGATAAGTTAGCGAACTTGACTTCTTAGACATTCTTAATTGTAGATATAAAGACCAAGATGGTGTGGCCCCGGTATGGTCGCAGTCTTCTTTCTATTTATAAATGTGGCTTTCATTTGTTTCGCAACTTGGTCTTGTTGTCAGGGCAAATTAGTAGAACGTACCTTGTCTGAAGTCCTCTGCCATAGTAGTTTTCATAATTCCCAGTATCAGACTTGGTACATTCTCAGACGTTTCACCGGCATCGTAGTCATTTTCGGCAGAACCTTGGTTGAGGGATTGACTTCAATTGTCTCTTTGACGAGTTCGTAGCTTGGTGCGGAGAATGGCAAGACTCACCAGTGATGCCGACTAGAATGCCGACAAAACGTCTGAGAATGCACCAAGTCTACGGTCTGATGCTGGGAAGTATGATAACTATTGAGGCAGAGGACTTCGGACAAGGTGCGTTCTACTAAGTCGCCCTGACAACAAGACCAAGTTGCGAAACGAGGTCAACCCACTTCTTTAAATCTTAATTTTATTTCAGCCGTGTATTATTACTACGTTTAAACACAGAAATACTCGTTTTATTTTTGTCTAGCATAGCATAAATTGTTAATATTTCTAGTTTATGGTCATTTACAAATGTCCAAAGCAATGAAAAATGTGATGCCATCTTTTTTGGCTCTATCTAAAGTGCATCAACCTATTAAAGGTGAAAAATGAGTTGTAATGATAGGAATTAGAAGTAACGGTCTAGATTTCTTGGACCTACGTCAATAATCAAAAGATATTGAAGCGTATTCCAAGAGACAATTGAACCAAGTTTACCGGCAAACGACGCTAATTCTCATTGTTCCGAATCGTCAGATTTCAATACGACATTCAATTCAACGAAATCCACAAGGCAACCTTCTTCGGTTGAGGTAAAAACTAGCGGAACCTTTGTCCGTAATGTTATTTTTCAGAGCTGTTACTCATTTTTGCAAGAATTTCGAGTTAACAGTAAGTCAAGAAGACTAGTCAGCTTTAACTTACATGCTATGTATACTCACAACTAAAAATGAAAGTATGTAAATATAAATAAATATATGCAGAATTATATATATATATATATATATATATATATATATAATTTTGCAAAATAATTAACAAAATAATGCTAAATCTATTCATCAATTTTATCTATTATTATTTTTAGTTGTGAGTCTTTATGTTAATTTAAACCGTTTTCAAGGAGGCTATTTTTTAGAATGCGTTGACTGGGCTGGCCATATTACGATTAAACGACTGAAGAGCAACAAGAATCATTAACCGTATTCTGGTGAGATTAGTCTACGAATCTCTCCACCAGGCACTTTCACTCAAAATGAGAGTTACCTTGACGAAGAAGTAAGATTGACGTAAAAGAAGGAATTAGTAAAGGATGCAGAAATGATTACAGTTTTCCCCTTGGTCTATAAGATGTAGTATAATTTCCTATTTTGTGTAAATAAATGAGGATGACTATAAAGTAGGATAGATTTTCATCTATATTTGTAGTAAAAATTAATTGTACATACATAGACACACACACGCACGCACGCAAACAAAAGGGCGTGTTCTCCCAACATAAAATAGCTTTATATGTTCAGTAACTGGACAACAGAGATTTTAGAATGCGAAGTTTGGAAGCTTTTTACCTCTAGTTCAATGGGACCTGAGCTTGAATCCCAACAGGATGGGATAAAGGCTTATTGAGACATTGGTGTCAAGGCTGGTTTACTAGCTACTAAAGTATCGTCTTTGGCAATTATTTATAGGAAAGTTGGTTGGCCATAATTCGTGATGTGGTCACACCGGAAACCGAATCAGGATTTCCACGTAAGGAAGACTGTTGAACTGTGCGAAGAAGTCCTCTGCTCGTCGTCCTGCGACCCTGATCAAATTATGCTGTTCTGTGACAGACAGCATTAGAACAGGAATCCATATTTCACGAAATGGAGCAAAAATATATACTAAACCAAGAAAAAAGGTGGTCTATTTCACAAAGTATGGATTCTTGTTCTGATGATGTCTATCACAGTACAGAAGAAAACTTAGCCCAATTTAATCGAGGTCGCCGAAGACTTCTTCGCACAATTCAACAGTCTTCCTTACGAGATAATCCTCCTTCGGTTGCCAGTCTTCTGTTTCCGGTGAGACCACATCGCGAACTTCTTCCAACCAACTTTCCCCTCGAAATGGAGAGTCATATCAGAATATGTTAAATTGCCACATGTACTCATTTCTATTGCTGCTACAGAAGATGAATCTGGGCATTATCGGCTCAGTCGGTCTGGCGATAGCAGCGGCAGACATGCTGCAGACGAAGCTGAACTCTCCGGACGGCCTGAGCCAATACGCTTTCTACTCAGGCCTCGATTCAGCCTCAACGACGGTGCGCATCTCGGACTCCCTCACAGTCAACCTGACGCAGGAGCCTTGCAACAGTCAGTTCGGCTTTGAACTGGCCAACATGAGCAATCAAATGCAACCGGTTTTTGCATTCGACTTTTATCTGCTCGACATCTTCGCGAATGGGGGTTTGGTCAACGTGAGTCCGGTCAACCGAGCCAACTGGCCGCTCTACACAATAGACTCTCTGAAATCTGTCGCCTGGCCGAACAATTCTACAGGCCCTGGACGAGACAGCTGTTTCGACGTCTTCTGTCAGACCGGTAGGTCGTCTGATGGTGGAAACCTGTTCTCCGCTTGTGTCTTTCCTGAGTTTGCTATGGTTGTCCGATAGTGTGAACTAGTTTACTAAAAAACTAACTCCAGGATGAATACATCTCATATTACTGATTCACTGGTAGACACGAAAAACAATATTTAATTCGAAAAATAAAGTATAGTAGTCGATTGTTATAGCAGATATACATTTGCTTCATCGCGGTTCCACTTCGTTGAAGGTGTTGCTAAGACCGATGCGAGGTCGAAACTGCAGTCCACTGATGCCTGGGTGAGAACAACTTTTAGGAAAGCAAGGTTATGTGAAATTGAATGGAAACGTCAGCTCAACTCATATCATTGTGGAAAAATTATTCTCCTACCAGTCCGTCATCACCTTAATCGAAATTGTATAAATACATCTCATATTACGGATTTACTGGTAGACACGAAAAACAATACTTTATTCGAAAAATAAGTCATGCAGCCTTAAAACAAGCTTCGATGAACATTTCCTTAATTTTTCGCATTAAGTATTGTTCTGAGAGAACAAATTTTGGGAAAGCAAGGAGATGTTAAATTGAATGGAACCGTCAGCTCAACTCATATCATTGTGGGAAAAATTTTCTTCTACTAGTCCTTCATCACCTTAAACGAAATTAGGTGAATGCATCTCATATTAGTTCTTATTCCCCTTTAATTAGCCTAATATGTTTAAGTTGTTAATAAGAATGGCATTTTAACTACTATTATAACTAGTAATAATAATAGTAATGCTAAGAATAATTTAAATTTTAAAAAATGTTCAATAACATAAAAATATAAGAAAATAAAGAAAGCTAATTATATTGTTATCATTGCTATTAT